GAGAGAGAGAGAGAGAGAGAGAGAGAGAGAGAGAGAGAGAGAGAGAGAGAGAGAGAGTTAATGGTGTTGAGAGCGGTTTTTTGAAGATTCATGCCTCGGTTGTTAACTAGTTGATCAGGAAAATGAACAAGAGTTCATTCTGATCTTCAGAATGAATATTTCAACATTAAGCTCTGAAAAGAAGGTTGCCAGAGTTGCCTCAAGGGTTGCAAATACTTGGCATTACTTTTTGTCAGTGATGTCTTTTTCTGTCCATGGCATTCTGCCTTTCTTCCTGGTGCGAGAGAACGTACCTGGTGTATGTGGGAGGTCGGCATTGATGTTGACGTCATGTACATTGGTCTTCGTCGTTCAAGTGAGCCTGTTGCATGAATGTTGATAGGCTAGATAGGATGAGTAGAGTAGGCTGGGCGCTGGGTGCCAGACAGTAGGAGCGACATTGAATACTGCGTTGGTGTGGCCTGAGGGCTTGGAAATTGGCTCACGAGTTCATTGTATCGCTCTTATTTGGATGGAATCTTGGTGCATTTGAGCTCTCTGCTTGTTACATGACTATCTGGACCTCTTTGTGATTTTGCAACTTGGTTTTCTGGTTATCGCTCTTGCTCATATTCCGTGCACAAGTAAATACTACCTACATTTTTTTGACTGTTTTTTTTACATTTGAAGTTATTTCCACCTTTTTTGTTCATCTTTGTTGACCTTCATTAAAATAATAAATTATAATATAAAAGTTAATAAAACTCATTGATTAAGTTTTTTCAACTTTTTTGCCTTTCTCTGAAGCTATTTCAGATGTTGGAGTCAAACTGTGTTCAAGTTGAAAGGGCTTCCATAAATTCAACCCACTTAATTGACTCTAAAGTCCATTCATAAAGTAGAATTACCTTTCTCGGTCTTGTGACTAAGATCAAGTGTAGTATCTGTTCTGATCAGTTTAGTAAATGATATGTGGTCTGTCAGACCCCCCAAAATTTTTTGTCTATTTGGCTGTGCTGGGCTGTCGCCTGGCCGGGCACGCCCAGGCCAGTGGGGCACAGGGGGGGGGGGCGGCCGGCAAAACCAGACGGGTCAARAAAGAGGAAAGGATGCCCCCCCCCCCMAAAAAAAAAAAAAAAAAAAAAGAAGACTTGAGGCCAGGATTGCGCTTGGCCTAAGCAGTCAGAATCAGGTCTTAACTTCGATTTTGATGATGGGTCATCCAGGGCGGTTTGGGGGCTTAAAAAGTAACTCTAAAGGGTTTTAAAGTTTAAACTGGTACATTTTGACTCGTGTGCAATAACTCCGCTCAAATCTGCATAAGCTGTGGGCTCCAGGTCGTCACTTTTGGTCAAAGGCCTGAAACAGGCGTCAAAAGTCATGCCCTAAGGCTAATAAGAAAAGTCTGGGCAAAGCTCCCTGAGGCCAAGGGGGGTACCCAGGGGAGGGCCAAAATCAGCATTCAGAGGCCCTACGAGGAACAGTTGACTTTGAGAAAGTCAACAGTCAACCCCAGCACGGGAATCCAGGCCCAGAGGTCAAAGTCAACCCGCTGGTCAGCCACGGCCGTAGATCAGATGCACATCATTGGTTGGCTGCGGGTATCCAGAAGAATCCGGTTCAAGTGGGACATGTGGGAAATCTGCAACTGTGCAGCATCCAGGCCCATTGGCTTCCGATTGATCTGGGCCGTCGACCCCAGGAGACCAGAGGCTGGTCGAGGTGAGTCAACAGTATAAGTTGACGCAGGCCCTGCTTGGAGATCATTCTGCCTTGTGCATTTTGCCTTGCGCTGGCTTGTTGCTTGTGCGGCGACGCAAGGCTGCTGGAGCTTAATGCTGGCGCCAGGTGCTGAGTGTGGGTGCCAGCCTTGAGGGAAATTATGCTGACGTGGCCATAGTTACATTGATTTCCACATTAATAGGAGTGTGGGCGAGGAAGGAGGAGGATCTGGAGTGTGAGGTTGGTGCGTGTGATGAGGGGAAGCTTACCTGCACTTACCGTTACGCCGTGTGTGATATGCCGATCATCTCCAAAGTGGCTGAAGAAGTGCGCCATCCTCTGTAATTGCTGCTGACGTGGAGGGAGGATTGGCGCCCCCTTGTGACCTGCTCATTGTGTATGTCAGAGATCGTCAGAGGAGAACTGCATTGCTGAGGTGTCGAGAGAGGGAGATGCCCAAGGAGGGAGTGGGCTTGAGGAGGGACTACTGCTTCGTTGATTCTTGTAAAAACTCTCCTCCTTCTCCTCCTCCTCTCAGTCTCTTCTCCCCCTCTCCTCACTCTCTCCTCTGAGTTCGAGACATTGGGAGATGGATTCATATACGATTTTCGGAGACATTAATGCTGCGCTGAGTCAGACTTGTATTTCGACATTCATGAGCTTCTCATCTGTCTGGGACTCTGGGTTCATTGCACATGTTTTCTCATTTATTTCTATCTTAAAATTAACAAGGAATTTCGAGGTGGCCCTCAGCCAAAAGTTGTTTGTATTGCAATTTTACAAATTTACACAACATAACTTTTTTCGGATTCTTTTGGGATCACCCAGGACCCTGCCCTGTCCCTGCCCGCCCGGGGCCGCCCGGGAGGGTACCCGGGCGACCTTCCCCCAGCCAGGCCGCCTGGGCACCAGCACAACTCTTGGGAGTTATTTCAACATCTACTCATCTGTGGGACCTTTCGACCTGGCTTTCGCAAATGCACAGGCAAATTGCTACGGCGGTTGGCCCATCAGGTCCAAATTATGAGTATCTTTTTCGACTGGAGGAAGCGCTGCAGGAAATAGGTCAGTCAGTCAGCCTACGCTTACCCCTCTGCCATGCACACTCACCCCCCCCCCCCCACACACACACCCACACCCACACATGGGTAGCTGCCAGTGCTGACTCATTTCTTCGAGCTTGAAATTATGAATTCACAATTCACGCTTCAACTCTCAATGGATAGTCATGAAACAATCATTGCAAGCTTTCTAAACTTGAGAGACAGTCTCAAATTTGAAAATACATCAGCTGTATGATTACAATTAATGCGTAAAAACAAACCATAAAGCACCGAGTCAGGTAGGGCATCCCCTTATGGATCCGCAAAAAAAAAAAAAAAAAAAAAAAAAAGCTCTAAAAAAAAGTAGTGATAAATCTCACTACAGTAAAATGAAAAAAGAGCATTTGCTCATGACAGATGAGAAGGGAGTTCAAGGGACGCAAAGCACAAAAGTTCCCAAACTTCTTTTTGGGGGACACCTAAGTGACCTAATTCTATCAAATTTATACACTGTGTAGCACACTGAACATGTTTGGCGCCCCACCGAGCAGCCGAACATGTTCGGACGCTCGGCCGAGCGGGAACCGAACATGTTCGGCCGAGCGCAAATTAGGCGGCTGCCGAGCGCGTTCTCGTGTGTGTGTGGTGTGTGGAGTGTGTGTGGGGTGTCTGTGGGGTGTAAGTGTGTGCATGTGTGTGGTGTGTGTGTGTGTGTGTATGTTCAGGAGCTATGTTGCACGTAGGCCGCGGCCTAGGCCGGGGCCCCCCCGGCCGCGGCCGAACGCGGCCGATAATTAAAAAAAAAAAAAAAACGGGTTTCGAGTGGGGCGGGGGTCCCCTACCTCCTCGCCAAAAAAAAAACATAATAACTTAAAAAACGGGGGGGTGGGTTTCGATGACTAAAAATAAAAAAAATAAAAATAAAAAGGGGGGTAACTTCTTTTTTTTTTTTAACATCTCATTTCCCTGCAAACAACAGGTATTCATTTCCACAAAAAATACACGTAAACTTAGGGACCATATATCTCGATTTTTTTTTTGTTGTTGATTGATTGATTGATTGATTGATTCCATCTTTTTTTTTTTTTGTTGATGGATTGATTGATTGATTGATTGATTGGTTGGTGGGGGAGGGGTCGCCCCACCCCGGCGACCACGGGCGCACACACACACACACACACACACACA